CCTAAGAGCTCAGAGAAAAAAATGCGCTCATATGACCTTATGCAGTTGCGAGCACTGTTAAACCCTCTACTATTAAAAAAAAAGAAAAAAAAGAATGAGTAATAAAATCACACAGCATATGACTCTTTTTTTTTTTCATTTTACACCCTGCAGACAGAGGAAAACAGTCCCAAAGAGCAGCACTAAGGGCCTTTTTCTGGGGAATGACCCCTACCTTGTGGAGGATGTAACTGACAAGATATTCCCCACCCTCACCCTGGAGGGCTCCAGACACCTGTCAGGGGGAGGCAACACATCCTTACAGCTCATCACTCTGAAGGAAGGGGACAGAACCGTGACCCTCCCCTCCCTCAGTATGGAGCAGAGTTACCCCCAGATGCTGTCTGAGCTTGTGATGCATATTTAATTTAATTTACGATGGCGTGTTCGCACGTTTGTTTCACGTTCTGGTTTCTTGCTGGTGCAGTTAGGCGACCATTATTTTGAATTCATTATAATAAGTCTGTTTGACTGCGAAAGGGTTGATTTTTTTTTCCTAGTAGGTCAGGATAATTCAAATAGTCGTAAGACAACAGGAGTCAGAACCGCTCTCTATCGGTTGGGTACCACCACATATAATCCGTAACCTTTTTTGGCACTGAAATAGAATGTTTTTGGGTTTTTTGCACCTACTGCAATATTAGTTTACAGTTAAAATTGCAATTGTCCAAGAAGTCCTCTCACTGTCGAGGATCAACGTAGTTGTCTTGGACAGATGAAAATCTTGGACTGCACCATTATGATCGAGAAAAAAAGTGGGATGTGGTCTTTTGTACAGGTGATTGTCTTGGACACGTAGCCATTAGAGAAGGTCCGACTGTATATATCTCTATGTTATGCACATTTGACCCTCAGATGCTCTGCTGTTAAGTGCTCACCTTGAGACTATATGTGTATATATTATGGGTATCTAGGAAAGACTTGGCCCTTTAAAGCACTGTGATTTCCTGAACCAATAGAAGCAATGGCATGCTTTTGAGTCGCCTAATGATAACTGCTACATATACAATACTGTATATTGAGGTGTGTTTTCGAATTTAAAAGGGAATAAAAAGTGCATGCACACAGGCATAGCTCTCTTAACAATCTGTTAGTACCCAGATTATTACCAGAAGATTATCAGTTTACACGGTAGGGCCTATACTTAAAAATGGACAGACTTTCGAATTCAAAATTTTAGTCGTCTAATAGTGCTTTTAAGGTAATTTGCACTGCGTGTCTTTTATGATAGAGAATTCCTTCCTGTTGTTTTAAAGAGAATGTGTGCACATTTATATGGGCATGGGGTTTTATCTTTCATTTTTATTTTTATCCAAGGCCCAAGTCTAAAAGATGCAAATGCATTAATCACAAGGTCTGTGTTTTGACTCAAAGCAAAAAAAAACTGCTCATTTAAATACAAAATCCAGAAATGTAAATTTGAAGGAAAAAAATGTTTTAAAGCCTCAAAATTTAGTTTTCTGCTCTTGGTCTTTGATCTTGACAATATTGAGCTACTCTTTTCCTGCCTGGGTCTGTTCAACTTTCACAAGTGTCACAGCTTCCGCAGACTTTATTTTCTAGGTGCTAAAATAAATGTTTGAATTTTGTTAGATTTGTTCAGCCTTTGTGCAATCGATTACTGACTAATACATCTGTCACTAGTAATAACATCATTGATCATTTCAGTGATAATATAGCCAATTGATTCAAACAGGAAATTAGTTTGAAAGCATTGAGATAGATTTGAAGTTTCCCAAATCATCAAGGATTTTTAAAAATCTTTCTATATATTGTAAAGGTTCAACATCAAAGACTATGTGACAGCCAGTTGGCTTTTGAGATACCGAAGCCTTTCTTGGTTCTGATTTTACTTCTTTTTTTTTTGTTAACCCTTTGTCCTTTTTGCCCTGCTTCCAAGACGGAAAATTGAGCTGGATGATTGTCCAAACTTTCAATTATCAATATATTATTTTTACATCAAATAGGTTTCAAACTATCCATTTATATCCTTCCTTAGTTCAGTTTAAAGTTTTTGTTTGTAAGATTTGTTTAATTTATGATACGAGTCGAACTCTAAAATAGAGCTGGACAGATAAAAATCATGGTTAAAATCAAATCAGTAATGCAGGCATATTGTTCAGCAGTAAAACTGCTCGGGGATTTTTGGGGTTTAAACTTGGCTTCCATTTCATGAAGCTACAATATTATTCAAGAACCATCATGCAAAAGACCATAGCAAAGAGTCTGTACTATAAGGAACAAAAAACCCAAAACAAATTAAATAATGTACAATACAAGGGGCATAACCATATAAATACTTTTATTCTTGCCTCAAGTTTTACAAAAATGTAATCTCCTTTATCTCATCCTCCTCACATCTATAAATTATAATATATACATAATGAAGGGAATAAAGTTCAGCTCACAGTGAGCCTAGCTTATAATGAAAGCGGGGCAAAATTGGAAATTCAAAATTTCTTGCCTTAAAAAATATCCCTATTACACCAAAAGAATAGTAAGGCATACCCTTACACCTTTGTGGATTCCAACACCATATTGACCATAATATCTCTTGTTTGGAGCACATCAAGGAAGTCGAGATCTGAAGGGAGGAAAGCATTACTTGGATATTCTTTTTCCTCTATGTCTACCGTCAAGGCAAAGCTTTATCAAGCTTACGGCTTTAAGATCATCTGTCAAGGTATGAGACTCTTCTTCATGGGTTAGATTGGTCATACCAGTTTCCAGTCAGGTGTTCTAAAGGACAAAGGGTTAAAAGTGTGTAAATGTCAGGAAAAAGCTGTGACTGTGATACAATGACAATATGATAATGACATGAATGTTTACTTGTTGATTCACAAATTTTCTATTTGGTGTCACTGAGTGCTTAGAGACACATTCCTACTTCCAAACATTCCACTGTAACATACTGCAAAGTGTACGATATTGTAAAACCAAGCTGTACTTATTTATTCTATCTTGTCCGTTTTGTCATGTAACACTTCTGACTTCTAGGAGTCAGATTTCATTCCATTTGAGAAAATTTAACTTAATATTTATTGTACTTACTTCTCATATATATTATTATCTTTCTTGTCTGTTAATTGTTGTTGTTCAAGTTTATTGTATTTTTTTCACCTATAATGGATCCTATATTTGTATATGAAGTCTGAAATGTACACAGAATTTGAAAACTTGCCAACTAGTGTCCAATTGTGTCTTTTATGAGCGGGTGAATTTTGATAAGTAAGATGAAATAAAAGGCCAATTTCATCAGTCCTTATGGGGAAAATCATTCGCAGTGACATTTATACACAATATAGGCCTACATACACACATACGTAAGATAATTTATCCACATCGCACAGAAAACAAAATTTCACAAATACAGATATAGTCAACACTCCCTTGCAGTTTGCCACTGTGCAGTACCCTGTTTTTTGCTCTGCTTCCATACGAGAAGTGTTAAGAACTAGAGCAAGACAAAGGAGGAGCTGTAGGGTGCTGTGAGCTGATTGTTATCAGCACTGCAATATAGACAACACTTTTGATTTCTCTTGGTTCGCATTTCTGGTTTCGAACACAAGCTATCAAGAGAGTCACAAGGCGTTGTCCTCAAGCTATTTCGCTACCTTGGAATTACAAAGTTCTATCTGACATTTTTGGCCATTTTGACTCACTAAGACCATGTGGTCAGAAACCAAATGTTCTATCTGCTCTATCAAAATTGTAAGACTATTCGGATTTTTTTTCGAGATATTCAAAGAATTATATTCGAATAAGCTTGACACTATTTCAAACTCAAAATCGCTTACGCCAAATTTCTCGAAACTAGGTATTGAGCAGATAGAACTTTGTAGTTCTCAGGTAGAGATTTGTGTTGATAGTCCTCAAATGAGTGTAGAAAAGAAGAAAAAAATTCGACATCTGTTTGTTTCCAACCGCCATATTATTATGGGATTTCTTCAGGGATGTCGACCTAGGTTTAAAGTATTTCTTTTATGTTTTGACATAAACAAAGAAGAAAGGTAATGGTTGAAGCTTTGTATTTTTTTAAATGATGTAATAGTTTTTGTAATATATGGTGTTATTAATGAATTATTTGGATTATTTCAAAATAAAGAGTCCACTTAACTTGCAGCAATTAGAAAAAAAATTCTGTGATAATATAGCTTGCAAAGGCATTGGTCATGGCTTGTTTTTCGCCCAGAAATTAAACTGATATTTTCTTTGAAAACATTCAACAATGTGATATAAAATCAGACGGTGACAAACTATTGCTGTTGTAATACAGAGAAATATGAATATTACTTGTATATAAAGGCCAGTTCACTTACATCTATTTCTAAATATTACAAATGAATTGGTTGAGTCAAAAGGATCTATTTACTATTGCAGGTGTAGTATTTATGTACAAATAAATGTCTTTTCACCTAACTGTGATAGAGAAGGTACTGTTTCCTGTACTTCGAACCAGGTCTCTCCCCATCCCCCCCCCCCTCCCTGAAGATTGAAGTATTTCGAATGTTTTTATGCTAGCTTTAGGAACACATTTATCCTTTACCTCTCTCTGTAAGCATTAGTTTGTCTGCTTATTTATTTGTCTTTTAATGTTGTTTTCAAAAGTAATATCCTTCTGTTTGCCAGTAAGATTGCCAGTAAGCTAAATCAATTGTCTTAACTGGTTCCTTCATTTGGAACCTTGGGTCTCTGCAGTTTGTTGCTGAAATCAGAGTGAGAGCATGATGCTTTATATCTTTTCAAAGGAATCGGCAAGAATCATTTTTGAGTCCTCCTTTGTTTGATTTGTACCTGCATCATTATCTCAAAAATGTCCTAGAATATCTGATCACAGATGTGGTAAATTGTTGAATTCAAGCTATCTGACCCTTCTTTCATATGAAAAATATTTCAAATGCTTTTGGAGTTTTGTATTTATACTATAGTTATTAATACATGGCACTGGGCCAAAGAGCAAATGCTCTGAGGCTACTGGATTAATAACAGCAACCATATTTATTGTAAAGGACACAAATGAACAAACCCGATTTTTCTTGTACATGAAATATTATTAAGCTTGTCAGAGTCATGTCTTGTAAACAACATCAACCATGATCATAAATAGATCAGTGAGAACGACATCAAGGAGGACAATTGTGGAGCTTGTATTTTGCCCATAAGGTCTAATGAGTTGAACTAACATCAATTTTGACACAACTGAGTTCAGTTGCTGTCAATTTTATACAAATTTTGCATAACTGAACATGCATGCATTTCACTTAAGGTTTTATTTCCAACTTATTATTTTAAATTGCATTTTTTAGCTATCTTTTTTCTTCATCTGCTTTCAACTTTGTCTGTTCAGACTTTGTTTGTTGTGACCTATTGCCGTCCATTTTTTTTCATTACCTTTACTGCTGCTGCAACTTGATTTAACAGCACGCAAAATGCATTAATTTGAATATTTTTCATGATTCCGTCCTCATCATCTTTGACCGTCCCTCTGCCTACAGGGGCTTTTTTTAGACACTTTCTTTGTAGAACATTTTTGCAGTGCAGTTTTGTAACACCCGTGTGCTGTGTATTGCTGTATTATTTTTCTTTGAGAGTCATTCCAAGGTGTTTTAATTTTTTTTTTATCATAAAGATATTTTTCCAATTCAAATGTTATTTTAAAGTGCTATTCTAATATGCGTCCATTATTAATTCCCTATAATATGTGAATTTCCTTCCTGGAAAGGTTACAAATATATGGTACCCCTTTGCACTTGTGATAGAGACTGCCTGGACAGAGAAAAGTGTTCTTTTTATTTTGGTTGCAAATCAGTGAGTAAATGTCAATTATATACTTGTATAGATACATAATTATAACCTTGTAATATGCACATGCGTGTTTGTGTGTGTCTGTGTGTGTGTGTGTGTGTGTGTGTGTGTGTGTGTGTGTGTGTGTGTGTGTGTGTGTGTGTGTGTGTGTGTGTGTGTGTGTGTGTGTGTGTGTGTTTATCGTGTTTCCTTTTTGCGTGTAAACTGTATATCTGTCATTGTGCGTTTGAGAATGCATTTTTGAAACTGTAGGTGCTTGCCAATGTATGTTTAATTGATTTTGTTTTGCCCTGTGTTTATTTCTGTGTGTCCATTTGCATAAGTAGATCTGGTCATTCTTTTCCTACATCCAGTCATGATATCTGTGACGTATAATACACTATTGAACCATCTAACCATTGTACTGTTTTAAAAAAGATAATACATGAAATGTAAAAATTAGAGTTGATCATATGTAAAATTCTATTTATGCAATCTCTAATACCAGCCCTATTTAAATGCTTCAACAAGGAGTCCTGCTCTCATAAAGCTAAATCCCTCAGAGTATAACAGAAACAGATTCACACTCCCAAAAGGGATTTTTGGATTTTTGGGTTGATGTGTTTTGTTTTGTTTTTTAATTAAGAAATTAATTATCCAACAGCTCTTCTTGTGAATATTTAATGGCATTAGTTTTCCCTGATGGTCAATAAATTTTTCTGGATGATTTCAAGTCGCAGTTGATTTTGCCCCTGTGGTATTGATTTCACAACAGGTATGGTTTAATAAAACTTGTTTATTGAACTTATATCTTTGCATTTGACATCTTGTTCTATTCTTTGGACCATGTTGTAAGAAAAAAAGGTAAGGGAAGATTTTTGGAACATAATATAATTAACATACAATTTTTACTCTCCACCTCTATCCACAAATCCAAAAAATACAAAAGAAAGTGTTCACATATTGTGTTTTCCTTTGCTTATTTTCAGCTTTGTGATTGCTTCTGTTAAGACTTTAAAAGTGTCGTCAGTATCAATACACTCCGTGCTAAAAATGTTATATACTCTGACTTAGCTTACTGAGATTTGCAGGACTAGAAAAAGTGTGTTCATGCTGGTATTTAGAGAGTTGTCATATCATAACATTATTTAAACTGTTTCCTATTTATATTTCTAAGATGAAAATTATTCTATTTGACAGGCAAGACATATTCCTTGTCCTGTAAAAGAAAGACCCACATCAGTTTTGAGAGTACCGTATTCATTTCGTGAAATGTCAGTGAAAAAGATATTATTTTTCTTGTTTCACCTTTTTCTGTGCCCTCAATGTCCAAGATGCATGCAACCATTGTACATAAGAAAGTCGCGGTATTTTCTCGCCTGAGAAGGCATTGGTATTGTGTGTTCATTCTGGTTAAGGGTTTTGTATGCTTATCATAATAATTTATTTTGTAAATTTACCCATTATCAATTTTATGTTCATGCATGATATTCGATTTTCTTTTTGATATTTGTATTCAAACATGTTTTTTTTTCCCCTCAAGGTTATATAATATGCCTTCCTGCTGACTTTTTCTGAAAGCGTGTTGAATTTTCTTCTTTACGTTTTTGACAATGATTTGTCACAAAAACTTTGACAGAGATGTTTTGCCTAGAATTTGGTCTGTAAGTAATGTAACAATTATGTTGGAAACGGGTAAAATATCATGTCTCATTTCTTTTTATAGACATGAGTAAAACTTGAAAAGCTACTGATTTCGTAGAACACTACACTATTATTATTGATGAAATGGTGTCTTCAAACTATAATTGCATAACATTCCACCTTTGAGAGAAATACGTTTTTTTAAATTCCGGCCTTTTTGAGAAATATAAGGCTTTTATTTAGAAATGTACTGTTAATCTACACTTCTTTAGTTGAAAGAAATATACAAAACATTAAGATGACTTGTGCACCCTTTTCTTTCTGTCTCATTCCATTTGAACAAAGTATTTGACTATGAATCTCTAATCTTTTTTTTTTCATGGCTTTGCTCTTATTCCACTCGCAAGTTGCTCTTCTTCCTTTTTCTGATTTTGTGTCCTAATTTTGATATAAGAGAATAAAAATAGCAGAGTTTATTATGGGGAACATTTTTTAGAGTTAATGTATCTGCTACACAATGGATTTTCTTAATACAGTGAGACATACAGTTACCGTTTCAGTAGTACCTCAAGTGATAACAAACAACATGTTCTTGTCATATGATATTTCTGTAAACGCAGCATAAGGGATTTTTTTAATGCCAAACCCTCAAAGGAAAATAGTACTAAATATTTTTGTATGCCTTAAAAGTTTTTAATCCTTGAATCTTGAAAGATTTATCGAAAATATCTTATGCCCCTCACCCTACCCCCTTTCTCTCTCTCTCTCTCTCTC